CAAGTGGTGGACCGGCTTTGAGAACCACTGTTCTAGAGTACTGAATACCCAGCAACTCCCATTTTTTAAAATCTTGGTGTTTCAGCTGTATGGTAAGTTGAGAGGCTGCACTTTCAGAACCATTTTATATTTAAATGAAACTTCTGGGAGAGACAAAAACCCACTATTCAGAAAGCCGCAAAAAAAAATAAAAAAAAACACTTATAACTTTTATTTTTCTGACAGCTTTCAAATCTGAATGCAATCAGCCTAAGAGTGGAGCAGAGAAATTAGAGGCTGAAAAGGTCTGTTACATCATCTGTCCAAACCCTTTCAAAGCCTGGCTTTTCACTACAGCAAATTGTAATGCTTTATTTGGTCTCAAGTATGGCTCCTAGTTTTCCATGTACTTCCTTTATTTTACTGACACACCACTTTTAGATTTACATTGGAACCCTATTAAACACAAGACAAGTTCACGGTCATCTCAAACATTTGCCACATTTGCATAGCAAATGTGAACTGCACTTCCTTTTTCTTTTAATTTCTTTTAACCTCACCATGGCATCTGGTGACATTTTGTTCTTTGCCCATGAGAGGAAAAGGCTTGCAGTTTCTAGCCATCACAAGCACTGGAATTGGGTCACCAACACATTTTACACTGTATGAATTAGTTTGCACCTAATGAACACAGTCTGCTAACTGCCAACTTTTTCTCTGAAATGGAAACTCCACAACAGGAAGAAAAAAAAGAAGCCAAACTTAACATACATTTTTAAGCAGCTATAATCTGCCAAATGAAAATGTTTTCACTAAAAGGTACACCAGCAACATGTCTCTGCCAAAATATATTTCTACTACTCTTCAATGTTGAAAATGGCTGAACCATTTTTTCTAAGACTTTAAAAAAAACTTGCCCCAGCCTGTATTAAATTTTCATATGAAATGCAGAACTTTGACAAAATTCTGAGCAACTGAAAGCAGCCCTCTAAAATGAAAATGCTGTGGGAAGTGGCGCGCCCATTGGCTGGGAACGGCGAACCACGGACAAAGGGAGCTGGGGGGCTCCATGCCTGCAGACGGTCAAGGTAAACAAAACGACAATGTATTAGATATTCAATTCAATGATTCCATAGAGTTTAAAATCATCAAATTTTGGTGTAGACCCGTTTATAAGCCGACCCCTGCTCTTTGATGCGTCACTTTTTTACCAAAATATTCGGCTTATGAACGAGTATATACGGTAATACTTTACATGTCTTTATAGAATATCATTGTAATTGATTTCAGACCAATTTTCTAATATTTTAAGATCATTCCGAATTCTAATCCTGTCATTCCAACCCCTTCCAGCTTGGTGTTATCTGAAAATTTTACAGAAGTGTACTCTCTGCTCCATCATCCAAGTCATTAATGAAAATATTTAACAGCACTGGAACTGACCACTGCGGTACCCCACTTGATATGTCCTCCCAGTTTGACAGCAAACCATTGATAACTACTCTGAGCATGTTTCTTCAACCATCATTTGCCCACCTTATATTAATTTCATCTAGATCTAGTTTGCTTATGAGAATGTCATGTGGGACTGTGTCAACAGCCATACTAAAGTCAAGCTATAACCATATCTACTGCTTCCCCCCATCCAATAGGCCAGTTACTGTGTCAAAGAAGGAAATTAGGTTGGTTTCGCATGATTTACTCTTGACAAATCCACGTTGGCTATTACTTATCACCTTACTATCCTCTAAAATCTTACAAATTGATTGTTTAATAATTTGTTCCAATATCTTTCCAGGTACTGAAGCTAGGCTGAGGGGTTCCTTAAGTTGCATGAGAATTTATGCTTAGCAAAATATTTATGGTTTCAGTGCAAGGTCTTGAAAGGGGTGGGGGGAGAGGGAGGAAAGAAACATGAAAGCAAAAGCAGCAAACACTACTGTGAAACTCATGGCCATAAAAATGGAAATACTATTAATTACCTGGAATGGGAAAATAAAGGAAGTTAAACATGCAGTTTACAATATAGTAAAGTGAAAAATGCAATTTACAGACTGAAAAGGCTAGTGGTTTTTTTTTTTTTTATAATATAAAAAGAAAAGACGACCGATCAATCCATCAGCTTACTTCTGTTCTGATTCAAAGACACTCACACTTTTTTTTTTAAACTAGTCCGAATCAGAAATCACTCATAAGTGAATGCACACTCAAGAAACAAAGTTCAAATAAACCATGGTACTCTACTTACCCACTGGACTGGTACCAGCTCCATTTGGCACAGTGAGATCTGCCGTACCCAAAATACCACCTAACAATTAACAAAATCAAAGATAAAGCTGATCAATTTTCATTAGTACATGTACTGTACTAATGTAATGTACTGTATCATATTAAAACATTTCATAACAATAAGCAGCAGCATAAGAGGAGACGGGAGAACTGGCTGCTCCGTGAGGAGGAAACTGGCTGCTGATCACCTCGGTCAGTAGACAGTGCTCCACCCTGGTCCCCTATCCATAGAGATCAAGAACTGGTATGCTGTACTGGCAACAGGAGGTGAAGAGCAGATATCAATGGCTGATGAGGAGCTGCCATTCACCCCAAAGTTAGGAAGCTCACTGCCACTGCACCCGAGAAGAGGAGATGTATTGTGATGGTGGACAGGGACTCCCTTTGAGGGAATACAGGCATCCATCTGCCGATCTGACATGATGTCCCGGGAGGTGTGCATCTGGAGCCCTCATCTGAGATGTTACGGAAAGTTGAAGATGCTCATACATCCTTCTGATCACTACCCTATGCTGCTCATCCATGTGGACACTAATGATACTGCCAGGTCTGACCCTGAGCAGATCAGCAGTGACTGCAGGGCTCTAGGAGTGAGGGAGGAGTCAGAGTCAGGGGTGCAGGATGTGTTCTTGTCCATCCTCCTGATTGAGGGTAAGGGCCCAGGCAGAGGGACATCCTGGAGATGAATGCATGGCTATGCAGATGGTGTCTACAAGAGGACTTTGGCTTCTTCAACCACGGGATGCTGTTCCAGGAAGAAGGTCCGCTAGGAAGAGATGGGGTCCACCTGACCAAGAAGGAGAAGAGCATCTTTGTGTATCGACTTGCCAACTTAGTGAAGAGGGCTTTAAACTAGGTTCAATGAGGGCAAGTGACAAAAGCCCACAGGTAAGAATAAAAACAGATGACCTTAATGGGGGTGGGGGGGAGGAGGCATGGACAATTACAATAGGGTCAAAGGAGCAACAAAAGGAAATCAGTGGGGGAATCTGATCAACCTTTTAGATGTCTGTGCACAAATACAAGGAGTATGGGGAATAAACAGGAAGAACTGGAAGTATTAGTACATAAGCTAAATTCTGATTTAATTGGCATCACAGAGACTTTGGGGGATAAATTTCATGACTGGAATATTTTTATACAGAGGTATAGCTTGTTCAGAAAAGACATGTGGGAAAAAAGGGAGGATGGGTTGCATTGTACATAAAAGATGTATACAGCTGTTCTGAGGTCCAGAAGGAGGTGGGAGACAGACCAGTTGAGAGTCTCTTGGTAAAAATAAAAAATTTAAAAATAGAGGTGATGTCATGGTGGGGGGGTCTGCTGTAGACCACCAAACCAGGAAGAGGAGATGGATTGGACATTTCTAAAACAATTAATAGAAATATCCAAAACAAAAGATGTTGTAGTAATGGGGGACTTTAGCTACCCAGCCATCTGTTGGGAAAATAATTCAGCAAAAGACAAAATTTCCAAAAAGTTTTTGGAATGTACTGGGGACAAAAAAAAAGGTTACTCACCTTCTCATAACTGTTGTTCTTCAAGATGTGTTATTCATGTCTATTCCAATCAGGCGTGCACGCCGCGTGCACAGTCATCGGAAAGTTTTCCCTTACCAGCTCCCTTCGGGTTGGCTGTGAGCCCGCTGGAGTGGCGCCTTCATAGCGCTCAATATACGACCCTGCCGACCCGACCCCCCTTCAGTTCCTTCTTGCCATCTACTCTGACAGAGGGGAAGGAGGGTGGGTATTGGAATGGACGTGAACAAGACATCTCGAAGAACAACAGTTTTGAGAAGGTAAGTAACCGTTTTTAATTCTTCGAATGCTTGTTCACAACGATTCCAATCAGGTGACTCCCAAGCTCTACCCCAGAGATAGGGTCGGAGTTAAGGAATGCCGAATGCTGCATCATCTCTGGCGTGTTGGGTGATAGCATAGCAAGAGGTAAAAGTATGCACTGATGACCAAGTTGCTGCCCTGTAGATCTCTGGTATTGGGACCTGGGCCAGCAACACAGCTGACGAAGCTTGTGCCCTTGTGGAATGTGCTGTAAGAGTTGGAGCTGGGACCTTGGCTAATTTGTAACGTGTGCGGATGCAGGATGTGATCCAGGAAGATATTCTTTGAGATGAGACTGGGAGTCCTTTCATCCCGTCTGCTACTGCCACAAACAGTTGGTTCAACTTCCTGAACGGTTTCATGCGCTTGATGTAGAATGCTAGCGCTCTCCGAACATCCAGTGAGTGCAGCCTCTGCTCTTGGGTATTGGTGTGAGGCTTAGGATAGAAGACGGGTAGAAAAGTGGCTTGACCAGTGTGCAATTGTAACATTACTTTGGGAAGGCTGGGTGAGGCCCGAGCTGCACCTTGTCCTTGTGAAAGACCGTATAGGCTGGGCTGGAGGTCAGTGCCTTTAATTCAGACACCCGCCCAGCTGATGTGATGGCGACCAGGAAGGCTACCTTCCATGACAAACAGAGCAGGGAGCAAGTTGCCAGCGGTTCAAAGGGGGCCCCTGTGAGCTTGCAGAGGACGAGGTTAAGGTCCCATGAGGGAACTGGTTGTCTAATCTGTGGGTATAGGCTTTTCAAACCCTTGAGGAAACGTCCTACTATGGGGTTAGCGAACACAGAGTGTCCAGATGCTCCCAGGTGGAAGGCTGAGATAGCAGCAAGGTGCACCTTGACGGATGACGTTGCTAGGCCCTGCTGTTTGAGATGCAGAAGCTACTCCCGGATGAGTGGTATAGATGCCTGGAGTGGAGTATCATTGTTGACGGGGCCATGCTGGGGCCAGCAGAATCACCTCTGCTTTGTCCCTGCAGATCTTGAGCAGCACCTTGTGTACGAGTGGGACCGGTGGGAAGACATACATAAGGCAGTCTCCCCAGAGTGGCAGAAATGCATCCGTGATTGAACCCGGGCTGTGTTTCTGGAAGGAGAAGAACACTAGGCACTTCCTGTTGCTCTGGGTGGCGAATAGGTCGACCTGGAGAAATCCCCACCTTTGGAAGATGGGATGAAGAACATCTGGACGGAGGGACCATTCGTGGTTGCAGAATGATCTGCTGAGGTGATCCGCTAGCTTGTTCTGCGCTCCTGGGAGATCATTCACCTGGAGGCGTCCTGAGTGAGCTATGCAGAACTCCCCTAGTTGGAGGGCTTCTCGACATGGGGGGAGGAACGGGCTCCACCCTGATTGCTGATGTAAAATGTAGCAATGGTGTTGTCCATCATCACTGCCACACTTTGACCTTGCAGCCGGGACTGGAAAGTTTGGCATGCCAGTCGCACTGCTCTGAGCTCCCTGATATTGATATGAAGGTGGAGTTCGTCCTGCGACCACAGGCCCTGTGTTCGGAGATCTCCCAGATGTGACACGTCCGTTAGTAGGGACAAGGAAGGCGGTGGGCTGTTGAAGGTGACACCTTCGCATACCATCTGAGGGTTGAGCCACCAATGTAGAGACTCTAGTATGTGTCCTGAAACCGTCAATACCGAGTCCAGCCTGTCTCGCCACGGGCGGTATATCTGGGCGAGCCACGCTTGAAGGGGTCTGAGCGTCGGGTACTGCCTGAGGCTTTGAATAACATCTGGAAATGGGTCTCTGGCAGGAATGTCCTTGCCTGTACCGAGTCCAACACCGCTCCAATTAATTCTACTCTTTGGGACAGTGATAAGGTTGACTTGTTCACCTTGAGGAGTCCCCCCAATCTCTCGAACTTGGACCTGACCAATCATACGTGAGACTTTATCTGCTCCGTGGTACGGCCCCTGAGCAGCCAGTAGTCCAGGTATGGGTATACCTGCACTTGCCTCCTCCGGAGGAAGGATGCTATGACCGATATGCAGTTGGTGAATACTTGGGGGGCTGTAGACAGACCAAATGGGAGGACCGTGAACTGATAGTGTTTGTGGTTGACCACAAACTGGAGAAAATGTCTGTGCGCAGGCCAAATGGCTATGTGAAAGTACGCATCTTTCACATACGCGTACCAGTCTCCTGGATCCAGGAAAGGGATAACAGTGCTCAGGGAGGCCATGCAGAACTTCAACTTCATCATGAACTTGTTGAGTCCTCGCAGGGCTAGGATGGGTCTGAGACCCCCCTTTGTCTTGGGAATTAGGAAATAGCGGGAGAAGAATCCCTTGCTCTTTAGCTCCTGAGGAACCTCCTCCGCTGCTCCCATGGTGAGGAGTGCCTGCACCTCCTGGATAAAGAGTTGCTCGTGAGAAGGGTCCCTGAAGAGGGATGGGGAAGGAGGGTGGGAGGTAGGGAAGGAGCAGAATTGGAGAGAATATCCCATTTCTACTGTGCGAAGGACACAGCAGTCTGATGTTATTTGGTACCATGCACGGTAAAAGTGGGACAGACGATTCAGAAAGCACGTCTATCCAGTGGATAGACATGTGTGCCGTCCTCGGGCGTCCCTTCAAAAGGCCTGTTTAGATCCTGATGAAGGTTTGGACTGGCCTTGGCCTTCCCCCGAGGTGGGGTTGGAAGGTTTGCATCTGCCGTTCCTGCCCCTTCGCCTATAGAAATCCTGCCTCGGCCAAGGATAATATGGGCGCTATTGTTGCAGTTGGGGCTTGAAGTGCTTGTGTTGGGTTGCTGGCGTGTGCATTCCCAACAACTTCATTGTTGCCCTGGAATCTTTCAAGCTATGCAGCTTGGAGTCTGTCTGTTCGGAGAACAGCCCCGCGCCCTCAAAGGGGAGGTCTTGCAGGGTTTATTGTAACTCCGGGGGTAGTCTGGACACCTGAAGCCATGATGTCCTCCTTATGGCTATGCCTGAGGAGAAGGTATGGGTATCTGAGTCCACAGAGTCTAGGGATGCCTGCAGCAAAGTCCGTGCCACCGCCTTCCCTTCCTCGACAGTGGCTGAAAACTCAGACCTAGAGTCTGGAGGGATTAGCTCTTTTACTAGAGAGCATGCTGCAGGTGCAAAAACAGATATTTGTAGCCCGTGGAAGGGACGAAGTATTTTCGTTCCACATCCCTGGCGGTCGGTGGAATCGAGGCTGGTGTCTGCCACAGATTCCTGCCACAGATTCCTGATGTTGGTCTGAACGGTCTTGATCAATGGCAGAGCTACCCGCGATGGACCTTCGGGAGTAAGAACGTCCACCATGGGGTCCTCAGCCTCGATCACCTCCTCTGCTTGCAACCCCATGTTGCGGGCAATCCGCCTCAGAAGGCCCTGATGAGCCCTATGGTCAGTCATTGGAGGGCCCGAAGCTGAGGCTCCTGCCACTTCCTCGTCAGGGGATGAGGATGAGGTGGCTGGAGAAGGTAATGGGTCCTCCTGTACCTTGGGCTCCCTGACCTCCTCTTGGACAATGTCTGCCCCTGTGGCGGCCATAGCTGAGACGACTGTAGTCTGAGCCTGTGGCTGGTCCTGTGCTGGAGTAGCCTCGGCAGCGGCCTGAGGCTGAGGGGGCAGCTGGGACTAGGTGGCCTCGGATCCCCAAGGTGTAGGCCTGTCTCTGGCAGAGTAGGGTGGTTGATGTGCCGACGCAGCTGACCATGAAGCCCCTGAAAGGGAGCCCTGGGGCTGATGGTAAGCCCAGGGAGTCAAAAGGGCCATTGTGCAGGGGGCTGCCAGTGCAGCTGCCAGGTCGGCTGCGCCTCCCTATGTCACCTGTGCGACCTATGCTGACTATGCCTGGATATTATGAGTCACCGTCAGAGTCCAAGGAAGTGGACCCTGAACGTGATGACCAAGGTGGAGCTGAGGGGCCCTGCGCAGGGAACTGGTGCCGAGCCGATGAGGCAGGAGACCGGTGCCGTAGATCGGCGAGTATCCGGTGCTGGCAATCAAGGACACGATGTTGGTGCCAGATATTGGTGCTGACTTGGTGTCGGTGATCGGTGCCAGTTGTCTCTCGGTGCCAGGGTTCGGTGCCAGTCCACCCTCGGTGCTGGAGAGGGGGAGCGTCTCGGCGGTGCTGGAGATGCTCTGACTGAGCACGGTGCCGGACAGCGGTGCCACGGCGATTGCGACTGTAAGAGGTGCCGCAGATGGTGTTGAGCCAGGGACTGTGAGCGCCGCATCATGGCCGGTTTACCTCTAGACGGTACTGGACGTATCGGTACTGGAGGTTTGTCCCTCAGAGCTGGGGGCTGTGAAGCCAGCATTTCAATAAGGTCTCTGGCAGCTTCAAAAGTGTCCAGGGTGGAAGGTGGCTCAAACTCCTTCACCTGGCACTGCCCTTGCAGCAAGTCACCGTGTGTTGGACTCAACAGTCCCTTCCGGGAAGCCGAAGTTAACGGCAGAGGCTTGTGTTGTTTAGGCATCAATTCCGTTCTGAGGTGCACCTGTGCATCCCGACAGTCCCGTGGCTTTCCTAGCCAGTGAGCACTCTCTATCAGCCCTCTTATGGCACTTGTGCGGCACCAGCGAGGTGGAGCAGTGCCGGGGCTCTGTCCCTGGCTGCGGTGCCGGGGAGCGCCAGTGCCAAGGGTCTCTTATACTAGAGTCATTACTCGGCACCGTGTCGCACACCGATGCCACAGCGCTCCATACTGATGCACTCAGTGCCAGGTCCTGGCGGTCAGCAAGTGAGCACTGTTCCAATGGCCATTATGGACGGTAAGAAGGAACTGAAGGGGAGTCGGGTCGGCAGGGTTATATATTAAGCACCATGCCACTCCAGGGGGCTCCAAAGCCGACCCGACAGGAGCTGCTAAGGGAAAACTTTCCAACGACCGTGCACGCGGCATGCGCACACCTGATTGGAATTGATGTGAACAAGCACTCAAAGAAGAATTTTTGTTACAGAAAGTAGAGGAAATAACGAGGTGGACAACTATTTTAGACTTGATTCTGACCAACAGGTAGGAATTGGTAGCGAATCTGAAGAGGAAAGGCAATTTGGGTGACAGTGATCATGAAACAGTTTGGCATGATATGATGAAATAATATATTTCATGATTCTATGGAAAGGAAGGAATGAGAGCAGCAGAATAAGGACAATGGACTTCAAAAAAGCAGACTTTAACAAACTCAGAGAATTGGCAGGTAAGGTCCCTTGGGAAGAAAATCTAAAAGGGAAAAAGAAGTTCAGGAGAGCTGGCAGTTCCTCAAAGAGACTATAAATCAGACAACTGCCAAACTATTCTGATGGAAAGGAAAGATGGGGAAAATAGTAAAAGGCCAATATGGCTATAATATCAGTTCTTTAATGACCTGAAAATCACAAAGGAATGTTATAAATATGGAAATATGGACAAATTGATAAGGAGTACAAAAGACCAACAGAAGTACGGGACAAAATTTTTAGGCACCTGGAGGATAATAAGGTTATAAGGAATAGTCAGCATGGATTTGTCAAGAACAAATCATGCCAAACCAACTTAATTGTGATAGCATTACTCATGTACTGGATAAGGGGGAAGCAGTAGACATGATGTACCTTGATTTTCGTAAGGCTTTTGACACAATCCCGCATGACATTTTCATAAGCAAATTAGGGAAATGTGGTCTAGATGAAATTACTATAAGGTGGCCGCACAACTGGTTGAAATACTATACTCAAAGAGTAGTTATCAGTGGTTTGCTGTCAAATTGGGAGGGCACATCAAGTGGGATCCCACAGGGGTCAGTCCTGGGTCTGATACTATTCAGTATTTTCATTGATGACTTGGATAATGGAGTAGAGAATATGCTTATAAAATTGGCAGATGACACCAACCTGGAAAGGGTTGCAAGCACCGTGGAGGACAGGTTTAAAAATCAAGATGATCTTGACAAATTGGAGAATTGGCCTGAACTCAGCAGAACAAAATCCAGTAAAGACAAGTGCAAAGTACTCTGCACTTAAGAAGGAAAAATAAAGTGCACAACTACAAAATGGGGAATAATTGTCTAGGTGGTAGTACTGTTGAAAAGGATCTGGAGGTTATATTGGACCACAAACTGAATGAGAGCAGTCAATGAGATTCAGCTACAAAAAGGCTAAAATGATTCTGGGGTGTATTAACAGTATGTAAGCCACAATAGGTAATTGTCCCTCTCTACTTGGCACTAGTGGGGCCCCAGCTGGAGTACTGTGTCCCATTATGGGAACTACAATTTAGGAAAGATATGGACAAACTGGAAAGAGTCCAGAGGAGAGCAACAAAAATATGAAAAACTTTAGAAAACCTGATTTAAGAGGAAAAGTTTAAAAAAAAAAGGGGGCATATTTAGTTTTGAGAAAAGAAGATGGGGGGGGGACGACCTAAAAACAGTCTTCCAATACATTAAGGGCTGTTATAAAGAGGATAGTGATCAATTGTTCTCCATGTCCACTGAAGATAGGACAAGAAGTCATGGGCTTAATCTTCAGCAAGGGTGATTTAGGTTAGGCATTAAGAAAACCTTTCTAACTCGAAGGGTAGTTAAGCTCTGGAATAGGCTTCCAAGGGAGGTCGCAGAATCCCCATCATTGGAAGCTTTTACAAACAAGTTGAACAAACACCTGTCAGGGATAGTCTACATTTACTTGGTCCTGCCACAGTGCAGGAGGCCGGACTTGATGACTTCTAGAGGTCCTTCCAGTCCTACATTTTTATGATTTTATCCATTCAAGAAATCACAATTACAGCATTCAGTTTTGCTAGTTTTTCATAATGTAAGCTTTATGGGAATTGAAGGGGAATAAAGAAGAAATGTAGCACTACTGAAGTCTTACCTGCATTGCCAGTACTTGGCGGTCTCTGAGGGGCTCCGGGTGATACATTTCGATGTAATGTGGCCTGAGGTGGGGAGAGCATGGTCGTGTCTGCTAATGATGAACTGGCTGCCAGTGATGGGGATACAAGGGAACTCCCTGGGTTACTGTAGGTTAAAGTATTGGGATTGGACACTGGAACCGTAACAGACATTGAAAAGTTCTGGGGAGGCAAGCCAGGCTGAAAACAAAAACAAGAACATATTAATATTGCACAGTAATGTTTGTCAAGGCTATAATATTGAGATAAAGTCAGATTAATTATGTTAGTTTAGTAATTTTGTATCACTGTAAAAATGCACACTTATAAAACATCCACTCTGAAGAGACTGGTATTGTGATCTACAGTACTTTAGTTAAAGATACATTTCAATAAGGTCATTTATCAATGTCGGGTATATTAAGAGCTACAGTTTGTAAACATTAGACTGGAGATATTTTATTGATATTCATCCATTAACTTTAATCAGAAGTATGCCATTATTTAACATTTGATTCCTGATACCAGAAAGCCAGTTGTAAGCTATACATTTTAATAATCAATGAATTTGTTGCATCCTCAAAATGTAAGAATACATAAACATGCACATTATAAAACAAAACTGAGTCAGTCATGAGACAAAAGAAAAAAGTTAGTAATGGTATATTTTTTCTGACAATCTTGACATTGAAATTAAAGTATTACTATTGTTATCTATCTATAAAAACCCACAAATACTTTTTACAGACTAGAAAATTCAGAAGTGAAGTAGGTTTATTCCAAAACTGATTAGCTGATCTTGGATCTGTGTATGGGTAGCAGAGTAATACATTCTATAGTATACAGAACTATTTACCTGAATACTAATGAATTTCTGTAAATTAGTGATATGTTAGAGTGCTAATTATTTGAATATAGAAATTTTGATTGAATCTTTATTTCTTAGTTACATACATTCTCAATATGAAAACATTTAATACCCAATAAGCTTTAGAAAATACAAGGATGATAACCAAATTTTTCGAAATCATAATTTTATATAATTAAGAATTATAATTATCTGTTAAGAAGGCACTCTCCATATGTAAACATCCATCCAATAAGCTGCATTATTGATATTTTATTTTTACATGCAGGCCACTTCAAAGAATTTTTTAATATCTGACAAATTATTTATTTTTGCACTAAATTTTTAAACATACACTACATTCAAGCAGCACAAGGCAACACTTTCAACGATTCCAAAAATGTAACAAAGGCAATGTATAGTAATATCCTTGTACATGTTTCTTTCTACGTAGAACAGGGTTTCTCAAACAGGGGTTGCCGCTTGTGTAGGTAAAGCCCCTGGCGGGGCGGGCCGGTTTGTTTACCTGCTCCGTCCGCAGGTTGGTCCGATCGCGGCTCCCACTGGCCGCGGATCGCTGCTCCGGGCCAACGGGGGCTTTCCAGCAGCCCCCCACTGGCCCGGAGCAGCGATCTGCGGGAGCCGCGATCGGCCGGACCTGCAGACGGGGCAGGTAAACAAACTGGCCTGGCCCGCCCGGGGCTTTCCCTACACAAGTGGCAACCCCTGTTTGAGAAATCCTGCCGTAGAAGCACCCAGTGATAGCAACTTTTATTGCTACAATGAAGACCCACATTTCACGCTGCCAGCCCATTTAGTGGGTAGGCTTTTAGATATCACCAACTACTTCACGCTATCTGTCTTTCCTCTCCTTTGACAGCAGTCAGCACAAAGTCTTTCATAAAGGCTAGGGGACTATTTTTTGTTATATGATCCACGGGTATGGAAATAAAACCATAACAGTTATAAATTAACCATATGTAAATAAACGTAGGGAGCTCTAAAGTTTACAATTTTAATCAATCATTCTAATTATGGGAACTTTTTCAGACTGGAATTCATGGCACACAGTAGAGCCAGAGAAATTGACCTGAAAAGCTAATGTTTCTATAAGAGGCGGCAGCTTAGAGACTATACTGGAAGACTGTGACTACTCGTGAGAACTCAGACCTAGAGAAGATGCCCTGACACACCACTTCTCGATATCTAAAGTTTCAAGTTGATCTAAAGAACTATCATTAGGATTCAGGTTCAAAGACACAACAATGGCCACTGATGTAAACCCTAGAGAGGATTCTTCAAACTGGCAACGAGGGACAAAAGATATTGCCTGTGTACAAATATAGAGAGCCTAATGAAAGAACTAATACTGAGTATCAAGACTGACAGTACACAGTTAACCCAGAGCGATGTGGATTAAAAAAGGAATTACTTCCATTACTGAAGAGTCGGTTGGGGACTATAGTCACCTCTTGTATATTAATTCACTCAGTTTCCATGCAGATTTTAAGAGGAACCTAACCAGTCCACTTTTTAATTGCCACAAGAAATCCAATGATGTACAACTCAAAAGATATAGCAGAGCTTCAAAATTACTTTCATTAGGATGCAATATTTTTCTTTGGCATAGTCTTCAATTTCTGATTTATTTTATAAAGCAAAATTAATTTACTTTTAAAAAGGAATTAATATGACCCCCAACCCACCAAACACACACCAATAAATTACAACAGTGGCGCCTAAACTTCTTGAACCATGAGACCCCCTAATTCCTCTCCAAGACCGATGCTCCAGTAAACCAGTCCATGGCCCCTAGAACAATCATACTTCTATGTATACAAAATTGTGAAGCGCAGTAGGCAGTCTTGTTGGTGCTGATGTGAGGACTCAGGCCCTGGCCAGGTTTGCTTTTGGATTTGATAGCTGTAGAATGGCCTGTGGGAGGGCTTCTGACCATACAAGATATTGGGTAAAAATTTCAAGAAGTGGCTATGTGGTTTAGGTGCCTAAGTCTATCAAAAGTGACTTAGGCACTTGAGGATGAGATTTTCTGAAGGTATTTAGGTGCCTAAAAATGTAGATAGGCAGCTAATGGGATTTTAATGGGGGTCAGGTGCCTTACTGCTTAGGTACTTTTCAAAATCCCACTAGGCACCTATTACTTCTTTAATCACCTAAATACCTTTGAAAAAAAAAAAATCACACCTTTAGGAGCCTATGTGCTTACATCACTTTTGAAAATAGGACTTCGTCTTTTAAGTCAGGTGCTTTTGAAGATATTACCCATTGACTAATTTACTATAGGGAGAACAAATTCTCTGTATAAGGGCATCTTCCCAGGAAATATTTTTAAGCTGTTTGTCATTTGTTGTAATCTTGTTCCATTGCAGAGGGGTAAAAAATTTAAAATCTCTCTATACAAGTTATCTTACATCTCAGGATAAGAGTCCATCCTAGCTTTAAAAAAAAAAAAAAAAAAAAGAAAGAAAAATGTTTTAGGCAGCATCTAGAAAGGGGGGTGGGTTCCTGAGAGTCAGGAACATCATAAACAAGTATGAAACTTCAGGAGCACAGGAGGGGAGCTACAGACCCCCTGGGAAGTTTAAGAACTCCTAGTTTACATGATAGTTTCACATAACTTTCAGAATTTCTCTCACATACACGCATATGCATACATAATGAATAGGTATTTCTGCTTCATAAACAATTAAACTATCTTATCTTTACTGTGCTATTCAATGGTAAGCAAAACATTGTGAAAGTTCTCATGCACATGATAAAAACACAAGCCATTCTTTAGTACTCACTGCGACTTTATGATTCCGCATCATATTATCAAACTCTTCATTAATTTTTTTATATTTTTCTTCTGTATGTGGCGTGAGCACATATGAAGTGTCAGGGTCCGGGCTGTCACACCCTCTGTGTTCCTTCTTGTTCAGAGCCTAAATAATGAAGTTAATAAAAAGAATCAACAAATAAAAAGTAGAGGTAAAATAAAAGTACTTACAGGGCCTCGCTTGAAAATAAAATCACTATCTTCATTTAGTTTGCTGTATCTGTCCTCCGATAGTGGACTGTGCTCAAAGTAATCGTCAGCATCAGGGCTCTCACAACCATTAAGGCCTTTTTTTCTTAAAGTCTGAAATACAATTGGAAAATTCACACACAAATAATACTAATTTGCCAAGACTTTTTGTAAGCTGAATCATATTCAGAGCCACTGAAACTACATAAAACGGTCAGAAACGCAACTCACTTTAAGAGACAAGCTAGGCCTTTCAAATAAGTAGCTCCACAGGGCACCATGATGGAAGGTGCACTTTGAGGCATAGCCTCTCCGAGCTCTGATCTCATGGGTAACTATAACCCAGGGATCGGTAACCTTTGGCACTCAGCCCACCAGGGTAAGCACCCTGGTGGGCCGGGCTGTTTACCTGCTGCGTCCGCAGGTTCGGCCAATCGCAGCTCCCACTGGCCGCGGTTCGCCGTCCCAGGCCAATGGGGGCTGCAGGAAGCGGCGGCCAGCACATCCCTCGGCCTGCGCAGCTTCCCGCAGCCCCCATTGGTCTGGAGCGGCGAACCACGGCCAGCGGGAGCCGCGATCGGCCGAGCCTGCGGACGCGGCAGGTAAACAAACCAGCCCGGCCCGCCAGGGTGCTTACTCTGGCGGACTGCGTGCCAAAGGTTGCCGATCCCTGCTATAACCTATCATTACTTTGGCCCCCAGGAATTCCATGACCAGCATTTGTTTTAGCTATCTGCCGATGTAATCAAGCAGTTTGATATATACAACTAACGTTGAAGGCTACAGCAAGAGGTTAGAATCGTCAGTGGTAATAAAAAAAAGTATTTCCCATATTAGCACAAGAATTCAGTGCAGCGGCTTTCTTCCTTTCTTTTTTTAAATAGTGTACTCTGTAAGGAGGATGTTATGCCAAAATAAATTATTGGCCTTGTATTAATAAAACATCAACGTTGGCTTCCCAAATTTTCTATTCTCACTAGAAAACAGTAAAATTAACTGTGTAGAATATAGTGAGTAAAATTTCCAAATGAATGCATTATTGAATGGTTTTAACAACATATGTAACCATTTGCCTGATTAGTTAAGGCACATACTTTCCTGGACTTCAGTCACTTAGCATACAACATGAAATAAAGTACTGCACAGAACATGACAATCCAAGAAGAACAATGCTCAAAATGCAACCGTTTTTATTTTGCAATCCCTTTCTAAGACACTGCAGTTTTCCAAATGTAAGCTTTTTTCACGTGCATATCTTCTGCGGTGACTTAATTTTAATGCGATTGCTTTGTTGGGACTTTTCCTGTTTACTAAATATGGACCTGCATCAACATCCCCTTAATGTACATGTCCACTACACAGCTATGAAATCAGCTACCAAAAGACAGGTTTTTGAACTTCAGGTCTCTTGCCTTTAAGATCTTGAAAAGTATATTCATATTCTTTAATGCTTATTTTTCCTTGGTATTATAAATTCAGAAAATCCACATAGCAAGCAAGCTCATTTTTTTGTTTGTTTTAAATAGAATCTCAAAGTTTTCCACCTCTAGGAAGAGCTTATTGTTAATAGAAAATTTGTCAGTGAAATATAATCATAAACATTCAAATGTCAGAAGTGTGTGAGAGAACAGTGGTGCAGAGAGAATCTTCATTTGGACAGACAACTTATCTTTATCCAACTTGTCTTGGTCTTAAAAATAAAAACCCAACCCCACAGAATTAAAATCAGAGCTACCTGTCATTTCATGTACCATAGAGGTATTGCATTCTCAAGGCTTCCTAAGCAACCTGAAAGGTATTTGGTTCTGTCACCATTTGAATTTCCATTTAACAATTGACAGTGAATCTACTTTTAGAAGAAGAATCTCAGTACAATTATTGGTTAGGTTTTTTTAAAATGTTATCTTCTTTTTTCTGATTAATAAAAGTATATATCAATTCTTTATCAAACAGAATAAGGTGCCCAGATCTAATGGTGATAGGATCCACATTAGCAGCTTGGTAAGCAGACAAACTGTACAATTATCTGCAATTGAATTTCTTCAGAAAAATGTTCAGTTTATGCTATGAATAAAGCTAGAAAATTGTGTATTGATTGCACTTCCACTAAAAATAAACATTTTTACTTAGTATTTTGTTAGTAAGCAACAGATTGCTTAATTTCACTTCCTAATGGTAAGGCAATACTTTACAAAATTCAATTATGCAATATGAGATTCTCAAAGATCACAGGTCATCATTGGCGAGATATAATTCCTTCTCAAATTACTTGGCATGTGCTGTGTATCCCACACACACTGTCTGGAACTCCCACAAAAATTTAATCACTAAATCAGCATATGGGGGGAAACAGGTGTAGCTTTTTCTAACACCTGTCACAGCATTGATCTCTGCTGGTCTAACCAATCAGGTGGACACTTACATGGACTTAGCCATACAAGGACCTGCTGTTTAGAACTCTGAAGGTCGGAGACTGTTATCCCTCCCAACCCTTCTCAACAAGTTCAGGCTGTCAGTCCTCTACACTTTGGTATCAGCAGGGAAAATGTTAACACAGTATAATCTGGATTACATTTAACCTTTATAATCTATAAATAGAATTTGAATAGGTTACGTCTGTACATGGATCCGAATATACAAACTGTGCCCAGCACTCCTTTAGGAGCAGCAGTAAAACATGTTATAGTGAAGTAGTATGAAATATGTAAGTAAATTAGAAAAAGGCAGCCTGCAAGAAATGTACAGTGGATAGCTGTGTGAACTCCAGCATACATTTTATACTCTATATTATTTAAATCTTGTGAGAGTTTTGATTTTTATAATATTTAAAATTATTTTGCCAAATGTTTTATAGTAATTACACTTAAAATCTAGGAATCTCATAAGTGTCTTTCTCAGAATGCCCAAATAATCAGTACAGCTTAAGTGGAAACTTCAAAATTTAATTCTCTCAATGCATACCCACCAGTGCTGTCCACCAACACTGAAGTTTAGAAATTAAACAAACTATTAATGTAAAGTGTACATATTAGGCTAAATATATAAGAATGCATTCACCCTTTTTTCAATCGTTATTTTTTATTCTGATAGTAATGGAGTTAACCCTGCCTTGACTCATGAGGAAGTAAAATGCCTCAGTATCTCCACTTTAAGATTCTGGAAACCTTCACTCCAGATGGTGTTCCTGTCATTGTTGGAGAACTTAAAGCTATAGTTCACTATTACAGATAAATCCAAGTCTGTGTTTGATATCCAAAGCTCTGTTTCTTTATCACCAAAACATGAACTGTCACTTTGAGGACCTAACTGACATAAAAAGACTGTCTACTTTATCACTATCCAGTAGCATAATAGTAAAAAAAGTTTCTCCTGTATGGCTGGTACTAAAGAGTGGAATGCTGTAATCTGTTAACAAGGCCAGGCGAGGCCTGTGGGAGACAGGCCAGCCTCAGTTTTCTCACAGGCTACAAAGTTAGACATGATAACAGGCTCTCGCTCAATAAAAAACACAAAGGTCGTGACTACTGGGAATCAAGCTGTGTGTATTCAGGAAAGAAAAATTCCATAAACAAGTGCTGGCTCCACCCTCCATATTTTCTGTGCTAAAAGTTATTACTGAATGTAAGTAAGTGATCCTCCCAAAATTCTTTCCTAGATACGATTGCGAAGCCTGAGAAATGTGTAGACCCCTGAAAATAAAGCATGTTAAGAAAAAAAAATCAAATAAGACCAAATAATCTTTAGGTAGCATATAGAGATGGGGTCACACACACAATGTGTGTATGATATTAAACATAAAATCTTAAAGTTTTTGCAGTTCACGATAACTAGAACAAAAGAGTACTTCTTATACTGGTATTTTTGCATACACAATTAAAAATTCTTATTAGAGGGAAGGGAAACATTTCACTTCATGTTCTGTAATGGAATGTTTAAGCATCATAAGGAAAGAATACTAACTCCTATTTTCTGGATTATTTCAGGAGTATATCTGGTCCTTGCAATAAATCTGTAGTATTTTCATTTTCTTTGTTGGTTCCCAGACAAAGATTTCTGAAAACCTTTTCTGATCGTTGTTGCCTAATCCACTATGTTGAGCTCCAATAAATATGTGTTTGTAGCTTGGATGTTAGTCTGGATCATTTATTAGTTGATTAGATCAGAGAACTACAAGATTCTTGTCATTAGAAATTCACCATGAGTATTTAGAAGAAACCATAGCAGGTGTGGAACCTGTATATACATTACAATTTAGTGAAAACAATAACTTAATTGTGTTACAAATAAAGACATTGTACAAATGCCCCAGCAAGCTGTGATAAATGCTGATAACAGAGTGACTCAGAAGTTTTAAAATGGCTTTGTTCCACCATGTAAAACTAAAATATGTAACTAAATGACTGATGGTTTTGTGTTGATTTTCTTGTAATGACTGGTATGAGGAAACACCATATGAGGATGTTAATGATGGATTAACCATAAAACGTTCAAAAGTTATGTTTAGACAGCAGTACAAATGTTCCAATATTTTGCTGAACCTTTCTCCAACATTTTACTGTAAGCAAAATGCTTCTGATACTTGCTAGATAGAACACCTTGGTCAACTCCCCTACCGGAAACACACAAATCGGATAGCATCAGTGCTCACTCCATGCCTTGCAACTTGCCAAAACTCTAATTTGGAGGGTTTCTCATTAGGCATAAAAATAATTTAGTTTCCCTATTCAATCCTGGATTATGTTGCTAAAATTTACAAGAATGCCAATTAGTATTAATTGCAATGGTGATATTTATGATGTGAACACCAACCCAGGAGGAAGTGGACTGACCGTTATAAAAATGTAATTGTGTTCTGGAACTACCGACCTGATTTTAATCAGTAACATACATGCAGAGGCTGTGGGTTTGTAATTCCTAGAATCTAGTCCCTAGAACCATCAATTCCCTCCAACCTGAGCTCTGGGATCATCTCCTTCCATCTCCCATTCAGACCTTTCCACCATCCCTTTAAACTCTATCCTCACAAACCCTTGCCCAAACTCCAGGCCTCCTCCTCTTCCAAAGATGTGTGACATCCTCACTGTTACTACCCATCACAGTTGCTGGTAGATTTA